TGCCCAGCACTGGCCCTTTAAGAAAAAAAAACAAAAACAAGAAAAACCCCAGGACTCAGCACTCCTGCAGAGGCCTTGGGGCTTTGGGGGGATCGTGCAGAGCCCCCCACATGGCATGGGGCAGTGGGGATCACCCCCTGCCGGCAGGAACAGTGAGTCCCAGGATTTTTCGGTTTGTTCTTTTCTTAAAGGGCCAGAACCGTGGTGGGCGGGGCATCTAGGGCGGGACTGGGGAAGCGGGGCAGGCATTGGGGGACTCATGAAGAGCCCCCCCATGCAGCATGGGGCAGTGGGGATCGCCCCCCTGCCCAGAAGCCCCCGCTGACTCTGGGCTTTTTTTCCCCACAGAGTGCCAGGAGCTGGGGTGAGTGGGGCAGCCATTGCCAGGCTGGGGAAGCATGTCGGGGATGGGCCTGAGTAATTTGGAGATTCTGCAGAAGCCAAATCTCCGAATCAGATTTGGCCGAATCAATTCGTTGTAGCGATTCCAATCACCGAATCGAATCACTGTCCCCCAAATCGGCTGAATCTGAAGCAAATACTAGCCGCTTTGCACAGGCCTAATATGTGGATGTACATGTATACACACACACACGCAAATGTGCATGCACACACTCACATATGAGGAACAGATGATGACAATTGTAACATCTATGGAGAAGTTTCCAAGACTGACAGGGAAAGTGAGGGTAATGGGATATACATCCTTGAACAGGTTCCTAATGCCAGCTTCATATACCTGAAGTATCTCTTGAGGCTGCTCATGGAGAGAAGATGATCAAAGGGTTGGTAATGCTGCTGAAGGCAATGATGGAGTTCAAACAATATAGGAAGCAAGTGATGGAAGTAAGGAGTGGTGAAGCTGTACATATGAGAAGCCTCTGATACCAACCAAAACAGAGTAGGAGAAACCTATGAGGGCATGTGAATATAGGGAAGTGGCAGAGGAAATAAGTAGCTGTTGAAGTCGAAACAGAACTGAAGAATCAGTCTGACATGCTGATAAATGAAAAGCAATAGGCAAGATGAGATGTTGATATGGCACAGAAGAAGAGAAGAGCATCCAGTATGAAAAGAGAGGATGAGAGGATGGAGCCAACTCTGGCATGAAGAGCAATATCATGCACTTAGGGACAAATAACAGGGACTTTGGCTATAAGATGGGGACTCGTCAGCTGAGAGAAATGAAGAAGTGTAAAACTTGGGTGTACTGGTTGATCGTAATATGAATGTGGGCTACCAGCATGATGTGGTGATGTAAAAGGCCAATGGAATTTTGGAGTATACTAGACTGGATGGATTCAGTAGAGACAAAGAAATCCGACTAACCTTGTGCATAACATTGACAAGATACCACTTAGCATACTGGACGTAGTTTTGTTCACAAGTATTCACAAAAGATGAGATTAAAATACAACAGATACAAGGGAGAACCACTGAGATGGTTAAGGGAGCTAAGACTGTCTTAGAAAGGAAGATTAAAGAAACTTGGCTTGTTTACCTTAACAAAACAAAGATTGAAAGGGGATATGATAATTTTTACAAATACATTCACAGAGTGAGTATCAGAGGAGGAGACGAGCCATTTACATTGGAAGATACTACTGGCAGAAAAAGCAAATGGTTCCCAGTTGGTTATGAACAAATTTAGATTTGAATTCTTCTTGTAATTACCAAACTATCAGAAGTGTAAGGTTTTGGAAGGGTTTTCAAAGCAAAGTAGTGGAGGTGAAGAACCTGAATTGCTTTAAGATCAAACTGAATAAGTTAATGGAAGGAATAGAATGATAGGTAAGGGAGTTCTTGGTTCAACAATCATCCTAATGTGACATGTGGATTCAAGTATTAGCAATGCCCAGGTTGGAATATAGAAAATAAACTCTTTCGCTGTTTGATAGTTGCCAAGCAACCCATGTTTGTCCATGGTTTCCTGCAAGGATCAAGAATTGTATTTCTCTCGAGTGCTTTTTTGGGTTCCAGTACAGTACATTGTTGTTTTTATTGGTGGAGAGGGTGTTTTTTACCTCTTCTTTTGAAGTACTGGATAATGGTCACAGCTCTGAGGTGCTCCAGTGCTCCTGCTGGGAAACTTTGCATACACCTGGCAAGACGGTGTTGTTGTTCTGCCCAGAACCAAACAGGTTGCCAAATTTGGAACCAGGAAGGATTTTTTCCCCCAGATCATATTAACAAGGCCAATAAGGGTTTTTGTCTTCCTCTGTAGCATGGGGTTTGGTCTTCTTCCTAGGATCCTCTGAGAATTTACTAAGCAACTACCTTTCTGCCATTGCAGTGGTTAGGTTTTGGCAGTGCTTTTCTCTCCCTCTGTGGCATATTATAGGGTATTGTTGGGTCACTTCAGTGGAGAGGAGCATGCCTTCACACCTGACAGCTGTTTGCCGGTCTTTTTCCCCCGCCCATAGTATCCTCTCAGCTGGCTTGGGGTGGCTCTCCCTGTCGCTCTCTCCCTTATTCCTGCCTGCCACAACTTTTTTTGTTTGATGGTTCTTGAAGATGTAAAGGAAGGGGGAGAGAGGGAGGGGCTGATGCCATCGCCCAACCGCCACTGGTTGCTGGTTCACGCTAGGATCTCTGCACCGGCGGAACAGAAAAAAAAAAGAACGTCAAATGAACTGAGGAACTGAAAAGAAAATGGACTGGACCAGGGTCCCTCTCTGGGTTTTTTGGGGCCCAGACAACTCCTTTTATTCAATCTATCTTCTCACGGATGGCTGAGCCTTCCCCCTTGGGATGGATTGTGTCTCTTCTTTACTTACATTGCTGCCACACCTGGCTTGATTGTTTTCGGGAGGCAGTTAATCAGGGCAAGGCATACCTGGAGGGGGAGCATCCGCTTCTTCCTCTCTCTTCCTAGTAAATTCTTGCCACATTTGGTGCCAATTAAATGCCGGAGGAGAGCAACTTGATATCCCCCCAAGAGAGAGAGAAAACCAACCAGAGGGAACTGGGCTGGGACAGAGGCAAACCCCATGGCTCTCGTTCCTCTACCTTCATTGCTGGTGTATCCGGCTTGATTATAGAGCGACAGTGATTAATTAACAAAAAGAACATTTTGCCGAGGGAGAGAGTGTCCGCATTCTTCTTTTACTCTCTCCCTCCCTTGGATGAGGGCTCCTCCGAGCCCACGAGACTACCGGTCTCTTCCTTGCTCCTGGAGTTTCAGTCTCAAGTGGGATGTGGCTATCCTTCACTCTGCCTGCCAGCTTCCAGTTTCACTCTCCCCGACTCTGGCCCTCTGCCCGGCCCCAGATATTGCTCCAGCCAGTGCGATCCCCCAATCCACTTCACCTGGCAAGGTGTTAAAGTGGATTGGGTATGTGCCAGCAGCTCCCACTGTAGCGTGGAGACTTTTTTCGTGGAGGCCTCAAGCTCATAGCCAGGAGGATGCATCGGGTGAGTATCCCCTGTTCTTTCACAGGTATTCTTGGTATTTCTGGTTTTGTGCCTTTATTTGTAGTGTATAAGGAGCCAGGGTAGATGATTTTCAGGAATCTTTGAGTAAATGGTTGCCTGTGAACACAGGGAACTGGTTTAAGTGGCCCAGGAGGCCACTTCTAGTTGAGTCCTGGTAAAGCCCTACCCCTGTTAATGAAGGAGAAAAAAGTAGAATTGACATTTCTTTAAAATGCCCTTTTCCCCCTGTATAAATGCAACTGAAATCTCCTTCTGTAGGAGCTAATTGAATGCAGTATCAGGCATCCCAGCAAGAGAGTTTCACTAGTAGGAAAGAACTGAGGTTTCACAGTTGAATCCAGAGTTTCCAAGTTGCTTGAAGGATGTTTCTAATCATTTCCTTAATTGCCTAATGAATAATAAAACTCTGCTTAATTAAATACCAGAAGTTTTCAGTGTTGCAGTAGAATTTCCTTTGGAATGACAGGAGGTTGCTGTCATTTTTTGGTTGCTGTACGTTCAAGCCAATCAAATCTACCAAAGCATAAATACAAGCTGCATTTTACAAACTGCCATATTTTCTCACATATCCCACACCCAAAATAAGACATGCGCCTTGTTTTGGGGAAGGCAGAATGAAGAAGAAAATATTTTTCCATAGGTATGGCCATATAAAACAGGGACAGAGCCTAATTTACAGCTCACTCAGCCTTCCTTTCACAGCTAAATTGTCAGCACCTCTTATCTGCTCAGCCAAAACCTGAAACTATCTGCTGCAGGTGATATGACTCTATGAGCAGATCTAGGATTTTGAAAAAAGATAAAAAAATAATATTCAGGGCTGTGAGATAGGAGAGAGAGGTGTAGATAATAGACAGCAAAATTCCATAAAGATAACTTGATTAGTGGAACATCAAGACTATTAAAAAGGAGAGCGTGATTAAGAACTGTTGAGTGAAGAGAAATTAGCAGGAATCAGGTAGATTATAATAAGACACAAAGTCAAGTGACTCCCTCAGCACTGCCTGAATAGAAATGTTACTGCTGCTGCTAGGGAGTTGTCTTTAAAATTTGCGTGACATAAGAATCAAAGTAGGGTGTGACTGTACCACTGTACCCCCCTGTCTTTGCTGAACTCCACTGCCTCCTCCATGCAGCTGCTGGAGGAAAAAGAAAGAAAAGAAGCAGCATCATACCCGTCATACAGTATCTGCATGCTTCTATTGTGGAAAGAAAAATCAGCTGTGTCAGGTAAGACACATATCCTAATTTTGGAAGGCTAATTTGGGGGGAAAGTGACTGTGGTATCCAAGTAACTATAGTAATACATCAAATAAAATTCACCAATCTGATCATGTGAAAAATGTGTAGGTTATGGGAAGCTCCCAAAATTCACACATTGGGCCCATGAGTAGCCCATGACATCTTTTGTTCAAAGACTGTTGAACACTAGTTCTTATTTACAGCCACCTAACTTGTAAATGTTATGTTCAAGACTGCATTTTTCCTAGCACGAAGGAAACACTCCCAGAACCTAGACAGCAATATGGGGTAAATGCTTTAGTCATGTATTTCTGGAGACCACAGTTCAAATTAGATCATGACCAATGCCGACAGAAGTTTGCCTGTAAATGAAGTTTACCCATACAAGTCAGAAACATTCACTTGGTATTCTTGCAGCTAGAACTGTCATAAAAAAACTTTTAAAAGCATATGCTAGCATTCTGACACATCCATTGAATATGCTACCATTTATTATACCTTTAAAGGCCTTTAGCTATAAAAATACAATACTATTTTTTTTAAGTTCTGCAAGTTACTTATACATCTCTCTCTGCCATCTGTGTACAATGGTATCCTCATCAGTGTGCTTTGATTCCCAGGGAGAGCACACCAAAGTGCCAAGGAAATGAGTTCTACTTACACTATCATTGTATGATACGTCTGTGCTTCGAGACATACTGGAGTAAAGGAGTTTGGAACTCTCAAAGGTTCCATTTCTTCTGTTCCTCATGGCACTCATACAGACCTGAAACAGTCTAGAAGAAGGAATTTGGCATTTTATTTATCAGCTTTAATTATTTTCTTCAACAGACAAGAAATATCAGACAGTGCTTTGGGTACCACTCAAATCCTGTATTAAAGACTTAGTTCTATTATTTTTCATTCTTAGATATTAAATATAATATCCAAAAAGACAAAATAATCCTTTCATTTATTTTTCCATAACTTTGGACCTTTTAACAAAAGGAACATATCTTCTACTCCAAGCTGTATGAAGACAATTTAATACAGCAACTAACACGTAGAAAATCTAATTGATACTGGAGCACCACTAGTAACTGTAGATAAGCTCCACAAGGTTGTAGAGGAAGGAGTTATTCCCATTTTATACACAGGGAAGTGAAGCACAGAAATAAGCTTGTCCAACATCACCTAAGAATAAGGTGACCATACGTCCTAGTTTGGCCAGGACAGTTATGGATTTCAGTTGCTGTCCTGGCTGTCTAGTGAAAGTTAAAATGAGCATCCTGGGTGTAGGGCACAGAGGAGGGATGTGGAACAGCACAATGTGAGATAGGAAGCCCTAACAAACAGCAAAATTCTCCTAAAATAGGTTAGCTTAATTAGTGGAATGACCATTAAAAAGGGAAGGTGATTGTTAACACCTGTGAAGTAAAGAACAATGAGTCAATAACAAGCCATTGACTCCCTTAGCTCCCTGAATAGTAACAGCAGAGCTGCACCACCCCAGCTTGCCCCCAACTCTGCCTGCAGCATCACCACTGACTTGAGAGGTGAAGGGCAGTGTTCCAGATTTCACATTATCCCATATAATCACCCTACCCAAAAAGCATGCAGAGACAGGAACTGAAAGCCAATCTCAGAAATCTTAACCTAAGCATTTAGCAAGAAATAGCAAGAAAAATAGCAAGACCATTTTTCCCTCTCATCAGTTTTTCAGATAGGATCATAGGAAAGTAGGGCTGGAAGGGACCTCACAAGGTCATCTAGTCCAGACCACCTTGTCAAGGCAAGTTCATCCCCAACTAAACCATTCCATCCAAGTGTCTGTCCAACCTGCTCTTGAAAATGTCCAGAGATGGAGATTCCACAACATCTCTAGATAGCCTGTTTTGGTTTTTGACTACTCTCATAGTCAGGAAGTTCCTCCTAATCTCCAACCTAAAATTCCCCTCCTGAAGCTTCAGGCTATTGGTCCTAGTCCTGTCCCCTACAGCCACAGAGAAAAGACCATCTCCATCCTCTCTGTAATTTCCCCTCATGTATTTGAAGACTCTTATCAAATCCCCACCCTCAGCCTTCGCTTCTCCAGAATAAATAACCCTAGCTCTTTCACCCTTTCCTCATAAATCATACTTCCTAGGCTCCTAATCATTTTGTTGCTGTTCCACTGGACTTTTTCCAATGTGTTTACACCTGCTTGAAGTATAGGACCCAAAACTGAATGCAGAACTTCACATAGTTCACCAGTGCTGAATAGAGTGGAGGACTCACTTCTTTTCATTTGCAAGTGACACTTCTATTCACACAACCCAGTATGCTGTGGGCTTTTTTTTGCAACACGAGCACGCTCTTGGCATATCTTCAGCTTATGATCTACTGTAAACCCCAGGTCCTACTCTGCAAACATCAACTGAATTTTTATATCTAATTTTAGTGTTAAAAAATGTTAAACATTAGTATGAATGTAAGTTATTTTCAAATTATCTACTGTTCTGTAATGAAAAGTTATTTCTTGCTCCTAATAGGAAGTTGGTCTTATAAAGAAGATCCTGGACTGTCATCCAGGAGATCCAATTCTATTCCCTGAAAAAGAAACAAATTTCAATCATGAGTAACCATGCAAAGTCTAACTTGCCTGCTTCTCAGTTCCCCATCTCTGAAATGGTACTAAAATGATTTTCTATTCTCACCTTTTGACTGTCTAGATTGTAAGACCTTTGGGGCATGGACTGGTCTCTGTGTAAGCCACACACATACCATGGTGATGATCCTTGGGTATTTCCATAACGCAGGTAATACATTCTTAGCTAGGTGGGATAATGCACATCTTCCGGGGTGTCTAAAAATCAGCACGTTTGAAACAAGTGCTTTATTCACAGGTCTGGATTAAAAAAAACAAAACCAACCTGCCAACAAATACAGTAGGAATGCATTCAGAATATGACCTACACAGCCCCAAGGAGGCAAGACATCAATTCTTGTTTATATTACACTTCTTCAAGAACACTTGGCAAATAATTAAAGCTAGGAATACACCACAAGGGAAAAAAACCCAGTTCCTTAACTGATTTGCTCAACTGTCCCTTGATGTGGGATAAATTCTGATCCCAAATTGTAACTCTCCTTAACCTCATCAGAAACCATCAGAAGTTGGCCCTGCATCTTTAAACACATTCCTTGGTGCAGTCCCCATCCACCCCCCCACCCTCCAAATGGCATTTCTAGCTACTAAAAGTCTCTAAACTAATCTCCATTGCCAGAATTTTCCAATCCATTCTCTCACCAGCTTTTATTGAAAATAATGACCCCACTGTGTCCCATCATTGTGAACACTCCACACGTGTTTCACAGAAGTGCTGATTATAAAAAATGAACTCATTATAATTTCCTGGCTGCTTCTCCCATGTGTTTCATAGGTGTTTCGTTATAAACCAACAGTACTACAGTTAATGGATCCTTAAAGTGGCCCCAAAGTATAACTCACTGGTTCAATGCTGAAGTCATTATTTTCCCTTCAGAATGATTATCATTTTAAAAATTCTAAGAACAGGGTTCTATTCAGTATCCCCCTAGCAAGAGCAGAAGTATAGTATCACTAGAGTGTTGTAAAAATTTTGCTATTTAGATGATGACTTACTGATGATAGCAACGTATGAGCTGTCCACTTTTACTGCCTTTTTCTTAAAGTAGAAATACTGGTACTTTACAAGCTAATTGCAAAAGGGATAAAGGCTGGGGAGAAACTGGAGTCATAAATTTCTTCATGATACATAAAGCCTGAAAAATTGGCCAAAAATGGATATTTTCAATCTATTTTTATACAATAGAAATATTTTAGATACCTACTTTGCACATCTCAGGCCTAAGAAAAGTATAGCATCTTATGCGTAAGAGCTGATAAACAGAAATGTGATAATATATAAAACTGCTTTAACACGTACTTATCTCAAGTGTCCATTAAATGCTGCAGAGAACTGATGCCTTCATTAGAAAGATGACATACTTTTGACGCAAAGCTTTCAATGAAATAGTGAATTTACAAAATATATCTTCAAATGTAAAACTGGCATCCTATGGAAGATGGAAGATCTAATGCCACATCCCTGATTTAGTGAGGAAGACCAAGCAGGAAACATATGTACAATACAACAAAGTAGAAAAGAGAACACAAACCCAGTTTCTTAAGGATCATCACAAGCCACCTTTCCAGACACTAGCAAATAGTATCCGCACTCTGTCAGGTTGCATAACACCATTAGTGAGGGGATTGTTGTATTGTACATATGTTTCCAAGCAGGAAACATATGTACAATACAACAAAGTAGAAAAGAGAACACAAACCCAGTTTCTTAAGGATCATCACAAGCCACCTTTCCAGACACTAGCAAATAGTATCCGCACTCTGTCAGGTTGCATAACACCATGATTTTCTGACATACCTGGTATATATGGCAGCAAATCAATTATAATTTATCAGAATTTACATGCATGACAGATTGCAAAAATCTCATTCTTTGGGAAAGTTAAATTGATACATTATTAGGTGTTATTAGGAATATGTGGTAGAATAAACATGATTTGAAATTAAGAGACTTATCATCAAAACTCAGATCCACTCATTGGACATGGATCCTACAAGATCTTTTTTGGTTCAAGTCATAATGGCTAGGAACAGAAGTTGCACATAAACCAGTTAAAGTGATCGGAAACTGGTTTAAACCTGTAATACAACAGAAGTTCAGTGCACACAAGCCACTTTCAAAATGGCCAAAACCAGTTTAAGATAAACCTGGTTGGATGTAGTATCATACTTAACTGATTTAGGTCAAACCAGTTTATGGAACTTCTGTCCCAGATCCACTCCTGGTTCAAGATAACTCACAGTCCCCCAGCATCCCAGGATGCTTTGCATCCCTGGACTATGTTGTCTGGTCCAGTAGAGCAGGGACTTCCTTGCCCCTCTGCTCCTTAGCCTGCTTCCTGTCTGTGTCCATCAGTCCATTGGGATGGGGGGTGGGGAAGGGGAACAGACCCCCTAGCCAGGGTCTGCACAGCACCTGGAGGAAGGGAAAGTCCCTGTGTGGGGGCTTTTTTACCCTCAGCAGCCCTCCCCCCTCCCTCCTTCCAGCAGCTGGGAAGGGGAAAGGGAGGAATTCCCCTCAGCTCACCAGGGCTGCCTGGGCTGGGGGACCCAGGCTGGGGGATACCTCCTAAGGGGGAGGCTCCCCCAAGGTGGCCAGCACCCAGACAGGGGGCTCTTTAACCTCCTGTAGGGTGACAGCAGGAGGTTGGAGACACTTGGCTGGGCTGGCAATGGCCAGCAGACTGAGAGACATGCTTTAGCACCCCCTGCCTACTGGCCTGGGTCAGTGCAGGCTTCCCCCTGCCTTTCCCAATCAGGTCAGTTGGTTATTGGTTCACTCTGTGCAGCTTAGAGGAAGCTGCCTAGACTGAATTGATTGTGCCTCGGGCTTTTTGACTGTCTGTATAGAGCCAATAAGACTAGGAGGAAAAGAAACCCTGTATATAGCTATGCTCCCCTTCAGTTCTGTTTTAGAATCACAACATCATGGGAAAGTTAGGCTGGATGGTACCTCAGGAGGTCAGTATCATCCCTGACTAAACCATCCCAGTCCTGTCTGTCTCATTTTCTTTGAAAAACTTCCAGGGATAGTGATTCCAAAACCTTTGAGTAGTCTGTTCCAGTGCTTAACCACCCTCACAGTCACAAAGTTTTTCCTAATATCCATCCTAAATTTCCTTTGCTGCAATGTA